TGCCTCAAAATCACCACGTGTCTCGAGGCCTAACTGTTGCCTTTTAGCATGAACACAGATAGATATCCTTGGTATTTACTGATTCTCGTTTCCAAAACAGTCTATTGATATCGCAGATCACATGTCAAAAGAAAGCATGCATGTTAAACACACGGTGATCTGGGTAACTTAAAAAAAAAAGGAGAACAATTAAAAAGAAAGAAAGAAGGGGGAATTTTTAAAAAGGAAAACTAGGGGGGAAAAAACCCCTGGGTAGCCAAAAGCCTGTTATGCGAGTGAAACTTCTGCTGAATGAGGGATAAGGAATGAAAAAAATGCATTTCCTAAAATAGGCCATGTAGCACTTTCTAGCCATTCAATCAACTTTTAAGTGTTTTCTTTAAAGAAAGTTCGTGTGTGTATTACACTTGTTCGTTACCCTTTTCTTCCCTCCCCTCGCCCCCTCCCTCAAAGCAGAGAGAGGGAATTTTCAAAGTCCTCAGCCAGATACTCAGTCTGACTTTGCTGGCAAACTGTCCCCACCTGTTCTGTTGAAGGTTAGGGCTAGAAGGAGCCCAATGCTGTCCGGGGGCTGTTGAAGTCCCCGGCCAGGACTGGGGCTCCTGGGAGCTGGCACAGTGGGCTCCCGGCACTCTGCACCTTGCTGGGAGGGAAGGGAGCCGGTGGCCACAGGACAGGGTTTCAGAGGGGAGGAGCTGGGGAGAAGGCTATGGGAGAGGTTCCTGGGGATCAGGTGCAATAGAGCCTCTAGAATGTGGACTAATAGTAAGAAAACTCAGAGATGTTCAGTCCAGTTTTCATTTCCAACATCTGGACATTTAATTGCTAACCCCTTACCCCCCACTTCAAATCTGCCTTCTAAGGAGCATGCTAATGATCACATTTTAAATCCTCCAGTTATTTTAAGCATGCACTTCCCTGCCTTTGGGGGGCTAGTATGCCGCCCCCCCCCCCCCCCCCCCCAAAAAAACTGATGTGGCATCGCTGAGTGCAGATGTCCTGTCACAGGCAACACAAGTTCAGGTGCAGAGTCCAATGGCACCTGGACGACATGGGTCAGGAGGTGTCAGACGGCCATTCCATTCTCGGTGGGCAAACCATTGTTCCCTGTGCTGCTGCTGTTGTTTTGTTCCTTTGTGTCTCTTCACCCCTTCATTTTCCTCTGAAACTGGATTGTTTGAACGTGAAACTCCAGGTGAAAGCTCGCCAAAGCCACCGAGTTTCACGCAGCTTCCACATGAAAGAATTCTACCTGGCCTTGCTCGAAACTTGGCCCATGTTTTGCCCAAAGTTTCGTGAATGTCAGCGAGGCTGGATTTGAAACCTAATCCAAAGCCAGGTGACTTCTAGGGACGTGGAGGCTTCCCTGTCTGAGTATAGAACCTGTCTAGCAAGGCCGTCCCTTATTTTCATGCCTCCCGCGTCACTGCATGGGTACACACGTTTTTTTCTTCCCCCAAGAAACTCCCATTTGTTTTATGACATTTGAAAGCTAGGTTCAATCCTAATATGAGTTTTTATAGCTGTGGTATTTAAGCATTGGCAACTCCGAGTCTGCATTTTAAATTCCTGCACAGCCTGAACCACAGTGGTGTGAACATGTTGGTATAATTCAGCTGAAGGAAGTCCCCGGAGAGTCCTGGAATGTCTTTCTTTGCTTAAATATACCTCTGTGCCCGTGAGGAACAAACAGTAACATTTTGTCCTGGCCCGTCCGCTTGACAGTATGCTTTTTGTTCGCGCTCCAAAGGTGGTGTCAAATATATTGGTGGAAAAAAATAATAAACTTCCAGCTAATTTTTTTTTTCGCCTGCTCAAGTGATATACTCCTAGGGAAAATAGTAAGCCTTGAAAACTTCAGTACTATTATTTGTAATGTAGACTGAGACTAAAGGGGTACTCAGCAGAGTCAATTTCCATCAGAAAAGGGTGGTGACTTGGAGCTGATGTGTGTATTGAATGGTCAGACAGGGCCAGGTTGTGAAGGTGTGTGTGTGCTGGTGGAGGTAGAGGTGGGTGGAGAGGAAAGGCGATTTGTAAACTGTGTTCAGCAAATCTGTCACGTCTAAAACAAAAATAATCAAGCCCAGGATCCAAAAGCATTTCTTTCTTCTGTTGATCATCTAAATTTGTGTTGGCTGAATGTTGCATTTTTGGGGGTATTTTTTTTAATTGTTTTATTGCTTAAAGTATTACAAAGAGTATTACATATGTCTCCTTTTTTTCCCACCCTTGACAATCCCCTGGCCTCCCCTACCCCCCAGTGTCTTATGTCCATTGGTTATGCGTATATGCATGCATACAAGTCCTTCGGTTGATTTCTTCCCCTCCCCTCCTGCCCCCCAACCCTCCCCTGCCTTCCCGCTGTAGTTTGACAGTCTGTTCGAGGCTGCTCTGCCTCTGTATCTATTTTTGTTCATAAGTTTATAATGGTCTTTATTATGGAGGTATTTTTTTTTTAATTGAGGACAGCAAAGATTACACTCTGATCATTAGGATTCCAGAAATGGCAAATAACCTCCCATGAGAATATGACCAATTGGGAGACCCACGCAGCTGTAAATGAAGCTGCACAAGCCAGTCTCAGAAAGATCACGGGTCTGTGCCCACTAGAGATGCGAAGCCCAGGAAACCATGAGTTGATGTGTCACGTTATTAGTTGGAGGGTTTCTGAACTCATTTGAAGAATTTTCATAAAAATAAATTTGTGACCTCGCTAAAGATTTAGTCGGACTGAATTTAGTGAGATTTAGAGATAGTTATTTATTACAAAATTAAATTATGAAATTTCATTTTGAAAATTTTGTAGTCAGATTTTTGTTTCATAAACTAGACTATTAAAGATGCAGTTTGCATTTTAGCAGGTGATTTGCAAAATGACTGTCATTGATCCCATACTACGTAAAGCATTTGAAAAGCTCACAGTAACAAAACTCGCGGGTCCCCCATGTAGGAGCTGCACTTTAACACTGACTTCACTATTCATTGCGTAGCATTTACCAACATATCTGATTTTTATATCCCAAAACTAGTGCAATGAGTAGAGGAGAGGAAGATGCTCAAATAGAGGTGCTAGAGAGAAACAGGAGAAACGATCAGAACCATCTTGCAAGGGGGTTCACTAAACACATAAAGGTGGAAGGAGCTCAACACTTTGAAAACAACCATCACCCTGGTTGGTTGGAAAAGAGAAAGGGTAAAATACCAGGTGGCAAATAAACACCAAACTTGTGCATATGCAAACTTGCTTTAAATCAAAATGTGATCTTCGTTCAAGAATGACCACACTGGTCATTTGAGAATGCAAAAATCAGCCTCTGACACATCTTCTCTTGTGCTTAATTTACTGTCAGAAAATGGAGTCCATATAACACTTACCCATTCCACAAGGATATATATCTATTTTTTTAAATATATTTTTATTGATTTCAGAGAGGAAGGGAGAGGGAGATAGAAACATCAATGATGAGAGAGAATCATGGATCAGTTGCCTCCTGCACTGCCCCCACTGGGGATCGAGCCCGCAACCCTGGGCATGTGCCCTTCACTGGGATCGGACCCAGGACTCTTCAGTCCGCAGGCTGATGCTCTATCCACTAAGCCAAACCAGCTAGGGCCACAAGGATATATTATTAAAACTTAAATGTATAGACGCATGGCATTTGTGTTCCTAAAAGAAAAAAAAATTAGTTTCCGTCTGATCAGACCATGATGTCACAAAACAAAGTCCTCCCCTGATAGACCCAAGAGGATTATTTGACTGAAACAGATAAACAGTCATTTCCAGGAAAGTCATCATTCTCCACCTAAACTTTTATTTGTTATTTGGATGTTATCATTTTCTCTGAAATAATGCTTTCATCATTACAGTGCCAAAACACCTCAAGGATCCCAAAGCATTCTCTCAGCTACCCAAGGTGGACTGTCAAAAAGATGTGGGCATTTCTTGTAGGTTTATACGTAGACAGTGTTGTCAGGACACAGGTCCCCTTAAAGCCTCTCTCATCCTAAGCTTCATCATGGAGTAGGAGACCCTGGTGACCCTC